TCTTTATCCAGTTCACCATGGATGGGCACTTGGGTAGAGTCCACGTCTTTGCTATTACAAACAGTGGTGATGAACATATCGGCGCAGTGTCACTGAATGATTTATTTTCCTTTGGGTGTATACCCAGGAGCGGGACTGCTGGGTCGAATGCTGCTTCCATTCTCAGTTCTCTGAGAAACCTCCAAAGCGTGCTCCACAGTGGCAAACTCGTTTACATTCCCACTAACAGCATGTCAGTGTTGCCTTTTCTCTGCAGCCTTGCCAACATCAGGTTTTTTTGTTTTTAACTTCTTAACTAGAGCTCTTCAGAATCTTTCCATGACAGCTTTCTAGCGAGGATCCTGCTACAGAACCAGGGAGCAGGGAACTTCCAGCAGAGCCTTCACGTCCACTCTGCTGCCGGCTGCCCTAGCTCTTCGTAGACCTTCAGTGTAGTTCTGTATTGACTCACCAGCCTGTCATGCAGTGCTGTGCCACATGCATGGGTCACTGCCATTTCCAATTTGTTTTGTTTTTTTTTTTTTTTTTTTGAGACAGAGTCTTGCTCTGTCGCCAGTCTGGAGTGTAGCGGCACGAGCTCGGCTCATTGCAGCCTCCGCCTCCCAGGTCCCAGCAATTCTCCTGCCTCAGCCTACTGAGTATTTGGGATTACAGGTGCACCCCACCATGCCCGGCTAATTTTTGTATTTTCAGGAGAGATGGGGTTTCACCATGTTGGCCAGGCTGGTCTTGAACTCCTGACCTCAGGTGATCTGCCTGTTTCGGCCTCCCAAAGTGCTGGGATGACAGGCATGAGCCATCGTACCCGGCCCATCTCCAATTTAAGAAATAAAACTATCAGCTACCCTTGAGTGAGGTCTGAGATAACCAGCATCTCTGGGACCATCATTCTGGCCTTCCGCTCCCACTTCCACCCTCTGAACAACCCCTCCTGGGGCAGATACTACTGTTGCCATCCCCCACATATTGATCAGCATGGGAGGCACAGACGGGTCAAGTCACTTGGTCAAGGATATTAAGGAGTCAGGTGTCAGAGCATAGATTCAATCTCCAGCAGGTGTGTTTCCAGAGCCTTCCCTTGGGCGCCTCACATCTTTTTATTACACTTAGTTGTTATCTTTTTCTCTTCTAAAACACAGACAGGGTCTTGCTCTGTCACCAGGCTGGAGTGCGGCGGTGCAGGCCTAGCTCACGGTGGCCTCAAACACCTGAGCTCAAGGGATCTTCCTGCCTCAGCCTCCCAAGCAGATAGGATTACAGGTGCGCATGACCACGCCCAGCTGACTTCCTTCCTTCCTTCCTTCCTTCCTTCCTTCCTCCCTTCCTCTTCCTTCCTTCCTTCCTCCCCTCCACTTCCTTCCTTCCTTCCTTCATATTTTGTAGATATAGGGTCTTGTTATATCGTCCAGGCTGATCATGAACTCCTGACCTCCAACCATCCTCCTGCCTCAGCCTCCCCAAATGCTAGGATTACAGGTGTGAGCCACTATGGTTGGCCCATTTACTTATTTTCTTTATGCAAGAAACTGTTAGCACATGGCACCTTTAGTTCTGTGCCCTCATCACAACCTCCTCTTGCCTCCTCCTTGAGATACTAAGCAGTGTCTGTGTTATAAAGTTAATGGAAATGTCAACAATTTGAAAACATATATAGAATTCAACTGAGAAGAATATCACACATGGGAAACTTTAAAATGTATGCACATAAAAAGAAATCAAATCTGACCCATGCTACAGCATGGATGAACTTGAGGACATGATGTGAAGCGCAGCAGGTGAGCTACGGAAGGAGGTGTGACCCCACCTGCACGAGGTGCCGAGATCGGACAGATTCATGGAGATGAGGTAGAAAGGTGGCTGGGAGATGCTGGGCAAACAGAGGTCCAGGGAAGTATCGGTAATGGGGACGGAGATTCAGTTTGGGATGACGAAAAAGTTCTAGAAATAGGTAGTGACAGTCACACAACATCGTGAATGTACTTAATGTTGGCCCAGCGCAGTGGCTCATGCCTGTAATCTCAGCACTCTGGGAGGCTGAGGTGGGCGGAGCCCCTGAGGTCAGGAGTTCAAGACCAGCCTGGCAAACATGGCAAAACCCTATCTCTACTAAAAATACAAAAAATTAGCTGGGCATGGTGGCGGGTCCTCCCAGTCCTCCCAGTCCTCCCACTGAGATCCTCCCAGTCCTCAGGAAACTGAGGCAGGAGATTTGCTTGAACCTGGGAAGCAGAAGTTGCAGTGACCGGAGATTGCACCACTGCCCTCCAGGCTGGGCGACAGAGAGAGGCTCCATCTCAACAAAACAAAACAAAACAAAAAACAGAGAGCCCCGCCATGGGCGAGCATTCAGCTGGGTATGTTTGGAGACCGGGGCTGGCTCAGACCAAGGTCACTTTTGCACCCAAGAGTCCACCTGTGCATGGAACCCCCGCCCTTTGTCCTTCCACAGCTCTGCAGTTTGGCAGACAGCCCCTAGAGGGCAGTGTGAGGAGACTGAGCTGGGACTGCTGGACTAAAGGCTGTTCCCTATGGACTAGGGAAAAAAAGAGGACACAGGAAACTGGAAGTAAGTTCCCTGCACCACGGGGGATTCTGTCTCCTTGTCTCTCCAGGTTTTATTTTTCTGGTAACAAAAGTCATAGATGTCATAATTTTATTTTGAGACAGAGTCTCGCTCTGTCACCAGGCACCAGGCTGGAGTGCAGTGGTGCGATCTCGGCTCACCGCAACCTCCGCCTCCTGGGTTCAAGCAATTCTCCTGCCTTAGCCTCTCAAGTAGCTGGGGCTACAGGTGCATGCCACCACACCCAGCTAATTTTTTTTTTTTTTTTTTTTTGAGTCGGAGTTTCGCTCTTGTTACCCAGGCTGGAGTGCAATGGCGCGATCTCGGCTCACCGCAACCTCCGCCTCCTGGGTTCAGGCAATTCTCCTGCCTCAGCCTCCTGAGTAGCTGGGATTACAGGCACGCCCCACCATGCCCAGCTAATTTTTTGTAGTTTTAGTAGAGACGGGGTTTCACCGCGTTGACCAGGATGGTCTCGATCTCTTGACCTCGTGATCCACCCGCCTCGGCCTCCCAAAGTGCTGAGATTACAGGCGTGATGCCATAATTTAAAGGTTTAACAAATACAGTAAAGAACTGAAAGAGAGACACAGCAGATGCCAACACGCCGGGGAATCTCCTCCTGTGCTCTGTTCTGTACACAGGCTGTAGCAGCCCCCGAATGCCACGCTGCAGACCACATCTCAGCCACGTGCCACCGCCTGTGGCTCCAAGAGCCACCCCAGCTCTTCTGTCTCCCCTGTGTTTTTCTGAGGGCATTAGTTAGCTGGTAAGATCTTTACAGCACAGATGATTTTTGTCCACTTGCCCCTCTCCATTTGATTTTCTTTTTCTTATGAAAATCAGATAATACTGGGCATGTAAAATGGTAAAGCTGCCTTGGAAAATGGTTTGGCAGCTCCTCAAATGGTTAAATCTAAAGTCACCCAAAGCCCCCCCAACCCCAATTCCACGGCCAGTGATACACCCAAGAAAAATGAGAACAGGTCCCTGCAAAAACCCACACACCAATGTTCACTGCGACATTTGTCACAACTGTCAAACACAGGTGACAGTGGCAACAACCCAAATGCCTATCAGATGATGAGAGGATACACAAAATGTGGCCTCTCCATACAACAGAATATCCCAGAAAGGAATGAAAGTCTCATACACGCTGTCACATGAATCAGCCTTGGAAACACGAAAGCAGCCAGTTACGCAAGGCCACATGTAGGACTCCGTTCCTAGGAAAGCCGAGCATAGAGAAATCTGTAGAGACGGGAAGTATACTAGTGGCTGCTTTGGGCTGGGGTGTGGGGAGACGGGGCGCTAGGAGGGTAATGGCTCAAGAATACAGGATTTTGTTCTGACTGCAGTGATGGTTGCATAACTCTGTGAATATACTAAAACCACTGAATTTCAGGCCGGGCATGGTGGCTCACGCTTATAATCCCAGCACTTTGGGAAGCTGAGGCAGGCGGATCACTTGAGGTCAGGAGTTCGAGATCAGCCTGGCCAACATGGTGAAATCTCTTCTCTACTAAAAATATTTTTAAAAGTTAGCCAGGTGTGGTGGCGCATGCCTGTAATCCCAGCTAGTCGGGAGGATGAGGCAGGTGAATCGCTAGAACCCTGGAGGTGGAGGTTACAGTGAGCTGAGATTGTGCCACTCACTCCAGCCTGGGCGACAGAGCAAGACTCTATCTCAAAAAAAAAAAAAAAAAGAAATGTTAACATGGTTACATTTTGCTACATACATTTTACCAAAATAAAAAAAAGGAGCCGGGCGCGGTGGCTCAAGCCTGTAATCCCAGCACTTTGGGAGGCCGAGGCGGGTGGATCACGAGGTCAAGAGATCGAGACCATCCTGGTCAACATGGTGAAACCCCATCTCTACTAAAAATACAAAAAATTAGCTGGGCATGGTGGTGCATGCCTGTAATCCCAGCGACTCAGGAGGCTGAGGCAGGAGAATTGCCTGAACCCAGGAGGCGGAGGTTGCGGTGAGCCGAGATTGCGCCATTGCACTCCAGCCTGGGTAACAAGAGCGAAACTCCGTCTCAAAAAAAAAAAAAAAGAGACAGATGAAGAAATAAGTCAAGCAAGTCTCCAGCATAAAATCAACAGACTTCACGCAAGCTCTCGGCCCTCCTGATGGCAGAAGAGTCCTCTGCCTTGCACATTTCCAGCACACACCTCCCTTTTAGGAAGAAAAGGCAAAAACGCTCACCTTTTTTGTCCACCAATCTTAAATTTCCAAGGAAACTGGCAGGTAGGTGAACATTCACTCACATTCTCTGATGGGAAGTGTGGAGAGGGCACCTTGCACCCTGCCTCACTGCCTCAACTCCTCCGCCTCCCCGCCCGCGGAGCCTGGGAAGTGAGCCCTGGACCGCGTCGAGGGACAGCCCCGCTTCTGAGCATGCCTCCGGCTGGCGGCCCCACTCATACGCACCTGCAATGAGATATTCCTTCTTTCCTCCAACGTCCAGCGAGACCCCACACACTGCCGAGGAGGGGGCTGTGTAGATAAACTCTATGTCCTTTTCAGGCCCTTTGAACATCTAGAAAGACAGGAGAAGGACACGTAAGCAGAGGCAGGTGGCGCAGTCGGTGAATTCCACTCCCATCTAGAACACCCCGGGCAGCACAACCTGTGTCTGTGGTACACCTGGCACCAAAGAGGACGACCAGGTAGTGCCAACTGCATGGATTAGAAAAGGACCATTTCCGCTGGGCGCAGGGCTCACGCCTACAATCCCAGCACTGTGGGAGGCTGAGGCGGGTGGATCACCTCAGGTCAGGAGTTCAAGACCAGCCTGGCCAACATAGTGAAACCCCATCTCTACTAAAAATACAAAAATTAGCTGAGCGTGGTGGCAAGTGCCTGTAATCCCAGCTACTTGGGAGGCTGAGGCAGGAGAATCATTCGAACCCAGGAGGCAGAGGTTGCAGTGAGCTGAGATTGTACCATTGCACTCCAGCCTGGACCAAAAAAAAAATTAAAAAAAGTGCCAGGCGCAGTGGCTCACGCCTGGAATCCCAGCACTTTGGGAGGCTGAGGCAGGCAGATCATGAGGTCAAGAGATTGAGACCATCCTGGCCAAAATGGTGAAACCCCACCTCACCTCTACTAAAAAAATTAGCTGGGTGTGGTGGTGTGGGCCTGTAGTCCCAGCTACTCGGGAGGCTGAGGCAGGAGAATCGCTTGAACCCAGGAGGCGGAGGTTGCAGTGAGCTGAGACTGCGCCACTGCACTCCAGCCTGGCGACAGAGCAAGACTCCATCTCAAAAAAAAAAAAAGAAAAAAGAAAAGAAAAGAAGACTATTCTTATAGCAAAGTGATTCTTTGGAGTCACCCAACTTTTAGTGCGGCAGATCACAGCAGGTGGGCACAAGGCTGACATCCGGAGCGTGGCATCCTCAGACAACGCCTCTGTGCCCTTGTCCCCTGCCCCAATGAGGTCATTTCTGAATCTCTGGGGAGGGGCTTTGGTACCTCCGCATGACTCTGGACCACTGTGAAGGACCATGACTTTTGCATATTTCCAGAAATGTTTTATTTTTCTGAGACAGGGTCTCACTCTGTTGCCCAGGCTGGGTCTGCAACACTGACTTCCCAGTCTCAAGTGATCCTCCCACCTCAGCCTCCCGAGTAGCTGGGATTACAGGCGCGTGCCACCATGCCTGGCTATTTTTTTTTTTTTTTTTTAATTAGTAGAAACAAGGTCTCTCTGTATCACCCAGGCTGGTCTCAAACTCCTGAGCTCAAGCAATCCTCCTGCCTCAGCCTCCCAAAGTACTGGGATTACATGCATGTGTCACTCTACCCAACCCATATTTCCAGGAATTTTGATCAAGTATTGTCTACTTGATGGCAATGAGAGCAGACAGGGACCTCAGGAATTAGGGTGTAACTCCACGGGCCAGAGGGGTTTGCTTTCCCAACATCTGGTTTCCTCACAGCCTTTGAGGAACACACCTGCCTCCCAGGTGAAGAAGAGCCATTTTCCCACCATTCAGGGAGGGTGCTGTTTTTCCCCCTGAAGAGTTTCAATAAGCAAACCCAAATGGAATGGGATCATGCCTCGCTGTCATCACAAATAGCTTTCTGAGAGCTAAACTCCAACTTGTACCAAGAAAGGTTATGTTGATGCCGTATTAAATGACATCATTTGCCAAAAGGCTAAAAGCATTTCCTTGGCACTGACACTGGCCTCTTCACAACGCCTTCATGAGGTCGTAAGAGCAGATCCTCCTTCCTGCCTCATAAAGAATGAGGCGTAGGCACTGAGAGACTAGGTCACCCCCTTAAGGTGACATAGATGTGATGATGAAGCATCCCAATGACCTTCTGATGACATTGATTTTCAACTACTTTTTTTTTTTTTTTGAGTCAGAGTCTCACTCTGCCACCCAGCCTGGAGTGCAGTGGCACAATCTCAGCTCACTGCAACCTCCACCTCCCAGGTTCAAGTGATTCTCCTGTCTCAGCTTCCCAAGTAGCTGGGATCACAGGTGCTCGCCAGCATGCCCAGCAAATTTTTGTATTTTTAGTAGAGACAGGGTTTCACCGTGTCGGCCAGGCTGGTCTCGAACTCCTGACTTCAGGTGATCCACCGGCCTCCCACCATGCCTGGCCTACTTTTCATTTTTAATAACAAAATTAAATATGGATAACTACAACAACCACCATTTACACAGCTGTCTCTCCACCTGGGACATGAATTTTCTTCTCTCTTACAGACCATGTTAGTTACTATCAACGACAACACAATCACCTCTCCTGCCGCAGGCCGGCCCCCATCCTCCCTGCCACATAGGGTCTCACTCTGTCACCCAGGCTGGAATACAGTGGTGAGATGTCATCTCACTGCAACCTCTGCCTACTGGGCTCAAGTGATTCTCCCACCTCAGCCTCCTGAGTAGCTGGGACCACAGGCGTGCACTACCAGGCCTGGCTAGTTTTCTGTAGAGATGGATTTTCGCCATGTTGCCCAGGCTGGTCTTGAACTCCTGAGCTCAAGTGATCCACCTGCCTTTGCCTCCCAAAGCACTGGGGATACAGGCGTGAGACACTGCAACCAGCCACTACATTCTTTCTCCCTCCCTGTCCCTGTCTCCCTCTCAAACATGGGCTTCTTCCCATATGCCCCTGAACACAAACAGTGCTTTGAAGAAACTAACAAATGACCCGCCCCCACCCTCAGGCTGCAGCCCCTCCCCCACTGGTATCTCATCTTCTTAGTAACTGGTCCACTCCAAAATCTCCATGTCTTCCCCTATTTCTGGAAGCTGCCCCAACACAGCGGGCAGAGGACTTCTCCTTCTGCCAAATCCATTCTCCTGTTAGGACTGCAGGCAAGCCGGCAGGCACAGACCATACACTGCAGTCTGGGGGACCTGCGTGCTCTTCTCTCACACCAAGTCTTTGAAACCCACAATGGCTCTGCCACAGAGGCCCCACAGAACGGCCCACAGACATTACGGGGAGCTTGGTATCTTGAAGTGGAAGCTGTGCCGCCAATCTGTCATGCATCAAAGTCAAGGTGACAGGTTTTTTTTTTTTTTTTTTTTTTTGAGATGGAGTCTCGATCTGTCACCCAGGATTAATTGCAGTGGCACAATCTCAGCTCACTGTAACCTCCACCTCCTGGGTTCCAGCGATTCTCCTGCCTCAGCCTCTCAAGTAGTTGGGATTACAGGCACCCACCACCATGCCTGGCTAATTTTTGTGTTTTTAGTAGAGACGGGGTTTCACCATGTTGGCCAGGCTGTCTCGAACCCCTGACCTCAGGTGATCTGCCCACCTCGGCCACCCAAAGTGCTGGGATTATAGGCGTGAGCCACCGCACCCGGCCAGGTTTCTGGAGGAATTGACCTTGCAGGGAACGTGTCATCTCCACACAACTTTTCAGGCGTTCTAGGATTAAGGGAAATTGGATCTATTTGCAGCTTGATGATGTCACCCTCTGCTCTGCTCCACAGGTGGCCACATCGTGTTCCAGACACCCGGCTCTCTGCCAACCCCAACGCCCCACAGCTGTGCCCACAGTGCAGCCCAGGACACCCGTGGCCACTGTTACCTTTATCTGCTTGATCTCATACTGGATCCTCTTGATGGGGTTGCCGTAAATGTCGTTCCCAGAGTCCACCTCCTTCTCACTGACCGCTTTGGCCCTGATCACTGCAAAACACAAGACAGAGAGTTGAGGAGGGTTCCTGAAAGATGCTCCTGAGGCTGAGAGGGATGAGGCACCCAGACCTGCAGGAGGCACTGGGGTTACAGACAGCAGCAAGGTGCAAGGAGGGCAAGGGGCATGATGACCCCAGCCCCTAGCACGGCGTCCTCTCCTGCAAGCGGAGAGATGATGCCCAGCCTCCTCCTCCTTCCACAGTTCTTCAACAAGAATCCTTCTTTGTCGACAGGGGCCCCAGCCAGAAGTCCAGAGTCCCTTGTGACCACAGCGGTTTCTGTAACAGTGGGAGGCAGTCATTGATTTGACCAAAGCTCGTCTGCTGATGACACGCTTGACTGCTTTCCAACTTTTTTCCTTCTCTCCAGTGGGTCCCATTGGTGGCTAGGGCAAGCAGATACACCACGGAACTGACCCGCAATCCCACACATTCGGTGAAGGATGGGACATTTCCCCATCCTCCAGCCATGGCCTATTGGAAAATAAGCTTTTCTGGGCCGAGGGCAGAGGGGGAGTTATCCACCTTAAAGGGGCCTTAAAGGTACCCAGTATGTTTAGGTTTGGAAGGTCTGTCCAGCTGTCCTCATCTGTCCTAACATGGAAAATGTTCTATGGGTAATTATTTTTTTTCCTGAGATGGAATCTCGCTCTGTCATCCAGACTGGAGTACAGTGGCACAATTTCAGCTCACTGCAACTTCTGCCTCCCGGGTTCAAGTGATTCTCCTCCCTCAGCCTCCCGAGTAGCTGGGATTACAGGCACCTGTCACCACGCCTGGTTAAGTTTTTTGTTTTTTTCAGACAGAGTCTCGCTCTGTCACCCAGGCTGGAGTGCAGTGGTGTGATCTCAGCTCACTGCAACCTCTGCCTCCTGGGTTCAAGAGATTCTCCTGCCTCAGCTTTCTGAGCAGCTGGGATTACAGGTGGCCGCCACGCCCGGCTAGTTTTTGTATATTTAGTAGAGACAAGGGTTTGCCATGTTGGCCAGGCTAGTCTTGAACTCCTGACCTCAGGTGATTCACCCACCTCAGCCTCCCAAAGTGCTGGGATTACGGGTGTGACCCACAGTGCCTGACCTTAATTTTTGTATTTTTAGTAGAGACGGGGTTTCATCATGTTGGCCAGGCTGGTCTCCAGCTCCTGACTTCAAGTGATTCACCTGCCTCAGCCTCCCCAAGTGCTCAGATTACAGGCGTGAGCCACCAGGCCCGGCCTGGGTGATTCTTTCTAGTAACACAGAGTCTATTAGGAGCACAACAGGTGCAGAGTCAGAACATTTCACCCAAAAGAGACATCTGCAGGCATGGCTGGCAGACCCAAGGGACAGAGGCTGAGGAAGGACAAACAGAAGGAAAAAGGATCCCCACTAAGCCACAATCAAAGAAGAAGGAGATGCGGATATTCTGGAGCCTGAGGCTGCTGACAGGCCGTGCGACACAGGGCTTTCTATAGCAATGAAGCCGGGACTCTGTTCCATTCCTGGTAACCTGAGGACAAGCAGATCAGAAGTAGCTCTGCTGTCCCTTGGGCAGGGTTGGGGAGGGCCCTCCCTTTTAAAATTTTGAGGCCATTAGTTGGTGACATGGTCTGTTTTAATGGCTTTAAAAGCTTTGACCTCCCAAACTCAACTATTCGGGGTCACTCTGGGTGAGTGTGATGTTAGGCAAAACAGAGGTAAGGAGCAGACCAGCCCGGCTCCAGGCAGCCCCCCAGCGCCAGCCCACAGGGTCAGCTCAGATCTCCTGTAAACCCTTGGCCAGGGCTCTCCTTCCCACAGGGGCAGGGAGGCCCAGGCATGTGGGTGCTCCATCTGTCCATATCCCCGGGCCCCAGAAATGCCCTCTGGATCCCAGGCTGGCACCAGAGTCCCACACTACAGCCCCACTGCCCCACCTGGGCACAAACCCCATTCTTATTTCTTCTTCTGTTGGAGCTGAGTCATGACCGGCCTAGGCCACAGGTTCCTGTTTCCCAGGCTGAGCCAGGCCGCAGCCTGAAAAGCCACATCTAGGAAACGTCTCCCGGCAGGCCGTGCCGGAACAGAAGGCTTTGCCCCGACGGCCCCCACGCCAGTGCTCTCCCAGCCATCATCGCATCCACCCCACCAGCTCCCGTTGATATTCATGTCCTTTTCTGCTCAGACAGCATCCTTGGCTGCCCACTGCCTTCCCCTAAAACATGAGAGCCTTTGCAACCTGAAGTCAGCCAGGGCCTCCGGTGCTGTGCCCAACAGCCCCCAGCGCTGCTCCTGCAGTTCCACCACTCCATAATACTCCTCTGCCCTGGACACGCCCAGGTACATCCACACCTCTGAACAGGCAAGGTTCTTTTTTTTGAGACAGAGTCTAGCTCTGTCACCCAGGCTAGAGTGCAGAGGTGCGATCTCCGCTCACTGCAACCTCTGCCTCCTGGGTTCAAGTGACTGTCCTGCCTCAGCCTCCCAAGTAGCTGGGATTACAGGTGTGCACCATCATGCTTGGCTAATTATTTTATATATCTATATAAATATAAATATATATATATATATATATATATATAATTTTTTTTTTTTTTTTTTTTTTTTGAGACGGAGTTTTGGTCTTGTTGCCCAGGCTGGAGTGCAATGGTGCGATCTCGGCTCACCGCAACCTCCGCCTCCTGGGTTCAGGCAATTCTCCTGCCTCAGCCTCCTGAGTAGCTGGGATTACAGGCACGCGCCACCATGCCCAGCTGATTTTTTGTATTTTTAGTAGAGACGGGGTTTCACCATGTTGACCAGGATGGTCTCGATCTGTTGACCTCGTGATCCACCCGCCTCGGCCTCCCAAAGTGCTGGGATTACAGGCGTGAGCCACCGCGCCCGGCCAATTTTTTTTTTTTTTTGAGACAGAGTTTCACTCTTGTTGCCCAGGCTAGAGTCAATGGCTCATCTCAGCTCACTGCAACCTCTGCCTCCCAGGTTCAAGTGATTCTCCTGCCTCAGCCTCCTGAGCAGCTGGGATTGCAGGTGCCCACCAGCAGGCCTGGCTAATTTGTTTTTATTTTTAGTAGAGACGAGGTTTCGCCAGGCTGGCTAGGCTGGTCTCAAAGTCCTAACCTCAGGTGATCTGTTCACTTCAGCCTCCCAAAGTGCTGGCATTACAGGCGTGAGCCACCACACCCAGCCTCAACAGGCAAGTTTCTTCTACGCCAAATGCCATCTCCCTCTCTGCCTGGAGAACTTCTCTTCAAGACCCAGCTAAAATAGCCCTTTTCTGTCTTCCCCTGGGAAATTCTGTCCTTCTGTGGCACTTAGTATATTCCCAATCTCTTTTCCATCCTGCTGTCAGAACTCACACACCTGTCTGCTCAGGGCCCGGGCAGGTCCTCACAGGCAGACGCCAGATTCTGACCGCAGAGCAGTTGGCGCTCATTAAATGTTTGCCACATGGAGCTGAGACGACGCTGACAACTTTGGGCTGGTAACCCGGGCATGGTTTGCCCTTGGCTCTCTCGCTTCCTGCCTAATCTATATACCTTATGGCAACAGCGGCACCAAGAAATGTTTATGCAAATCAGTCAATGTGCCAGATTAACTTGTCAAAGTTTGCTCTTCATGTAGCAGAGTCATCAGCTCAAAAGCAAACCAGTGCTGGGCACGGTGGCTCATACCTGTAATCCCAGGACTTTGGGAGGCTGAAGAGGGTGACTCACTTGAGGTCAGGAGTTTGAGACCAGCCTGGCCAACATGGCAAAACCCTGTCTCTACTAAAAACACAAAAATCAGCCAGGTGTGGTGGCATGCGCCTGTAATCCTAGCTACTCAGAAGGCTGAGGCAGGAGAATCACTTGAACCCTGGAGATGAAACTTGCAGTGAGACGAGATTGTGCCACTGCACTCCAGCCTGGGCAACAGAGTGAGACTCCACCTTAAAAAAAAAAAAAAAAAACAAAGCCGGCCACAGTGGCTCATGCCTATAATGCCAGCACTTTGGGAGGCCGAGGCGGGAGGATCACCTGAGGTCAGGGGTTCAAGACCAGCCTGGCTGACATAGTGAAACCCCGTCTCTACTAAAAATACAATAATCAGCTGGGCGTGGTGGCGCATGCCTGTAGTCCCAGCTACTTGGGAGGCTGAGATAAGAGAATTGCTTGAACCCAGGAGGTGGAGATTATAGTGAGCCAAGATCGTGCCACTGCACTTCAGCCTGGGTGACACAGCAACAGAGTGAGACTCCGCCTCAAAAAATACAAAAAAGAAAACCAGCAGGCCAGAAGGGGCAGCAAGCCGGACCTCACCACAGTCTACCTAATTCTGTATGTTACTTTGGAAATTTCTGGAGCTGCTTTTCAATGGTCCACTATGCTGCACAATGCTGAATGCACAATAAGCACTCGATAAACACATCGCCAAAGTTCGGACAATCAGACCTTCAAAACGGCCGAAACGTTGCATCCTACCCTGGGCATTGAGGTTCACATGTTATTCTCTTACAAGGCTCCCAGGAGGCCGCTGGGCACTTATCTGAAGGAGGCAGCAATCCTGCATTCGCCACACCCCTCCGGGCCAGCTGTGTGATCTCTGAGAAGTTCCCGGATTTCACGGAGCCACAGGTGCTCACACCCAAGACGGAGACGATGACATTCCCAACACTTCGCAAGGTTGTGGCGAGTGCTAGAGGGGCTGGCGTGCAGCCTGCGGTGCCTGGCAGCTCGTGTGTGTCCAGCTCAGGGCCACAAGCAAAACCGGGTCACGGAGACAAGCAAGGCAAATTCTCCCACTCCTGCGGGTGAGGGACTGGACGGTGGCATCACACCGCTCGGGTACACAGACCTGGTCCTGGTCAGCAGGCCACAGGGTCTCGATTTGATGAGGCTTCCCAGTGTGCCAGCTTTGCCTGGGGGCTGCAGACGACACGACACACTTTTCTTCTTTAAAGTGTCAGAAAAGAGGAAGCTGGCTGGATTAAGGGTCCTGGGTAGCCGAGCAGGGTTAGGACTAGAAAGTGAACTGACGAGGAGGCTGCCAGATGCCTGCAGGGAAGTGGGGGTGAGGGGCCAGGGAATGGGGGTGAGGGGCTGAAAAGTGGGAGTGAAGGGCAGGGGAGTGGGGGTGAGGGGCAGGGGAGTAGGGGTGAGGGGCAGGGAGTGGGGGTGAGGGGCTGAAAAGTGGGAGTGAAGAGCAGGGGAGTGGGGGTGAGGGACAGGGAGTGGGGGTGAGGGGTTGAGAAGAGCAGAGCCTGAGGGGATC